TCAGTTTCTGGTGAAAAATGTGGATAGGAATCCAGCATCAGAGAATTAAAAACCTCCAATAGTAAGAAAGAGGTGCCATGTCGTGGGCACTTCCCAGTCCAGGTTGATATGATTTGAAAGGCCCTAAGGAAGGTCCCAAGATTCCCCCTCCAATCTAGTGAAATGATGCCTAAAATTTCAAAATTAGAGTTCTCTCCCTTTAACTGAAGTTCCACTAGTTTGAGCATTGCTGGGTGTGAAGCTGGGTGGAGTTGGGACCAGTATTATTCTGAGCTGTTGGCACTCTTTTTTATTCCAACACAGAAAAAGGCTCTGAGAATGAAGTATGAGGCAGGTGTGGGAGTGGACAGAAGTAATGATGAGGACACAACTATCGAATTGCCTACGACAGATTCTACTGATGATCTAGGCTTTTAGGTTTCTCTCCCTAATCCAACGAACCTATTTGGGGGAGATCTTTGGAAACAGCGAGATTATTCAAGGTACTCATCACTCTCTGCCACCTGAGACCTATGAAGTAGGGTGCTTTCGGCATGGGCTCTATGTAGACTTAAGGCTATAAGTGATTAACTCAAAACCTCTCTCTGTGAGTGCCACTATATTTAGGAGGTGGGTGACACAGTAGGAAGCCTGGTATATTTTGATGTGATCTGTCAGGCCCTTAGAAATCTTCCTTCCAAAAATATTCCCCTTGCTCCTGACACATTGACACCTAAAATTTCACCATTACAGGGTCCTTAAAGTTACTCAATAGGTCTAGAAAAACACAAAGATCTTTTAACTCAGGGTGGGATGGGGGATCGGTGAGAAGTCACACAAGAACAAACCAGTGGTGGCCTTGAAATTCCTAGACGAGGGGCTTACAGGTGGCAATCCAGTGGGAAGAGGGGAAGGGTGGGAAAGTAGGAGGGTTGGGATTATCTATATTAAAGCTATGTTTTCATAGTAAATACTCAGTTTTTAATTATATTGAAGTATTTATTTGGGGTGGCTTTGGCAAAGGACTGATGGGAGATCTAGGATGGTAAAGACTCCCCCAAAAACACCCCTTGACTCTACCACTGCAACAAGAAAAACAAGCTGAGCGACAAGACCATGGAAATCAAGGTACAGGAGTCCTGTAGTTGGAATGAAAGGAGGCTGTCAAGTTCAATCTCTTTCCCCCTATAGTCATTTTGCCCGTCAGAGGCAGGCAAATACCCCAAGGCTGAGCTGAGGAATATCCAGGAGGGTCTTGAGTCCTCAGAATTCTCTGCAGGGTCCTCTCCCTGGAGGAGGCCAAGGAGGGGAGTGTAGCCCCTTGGCCAAAAATGCCAGGAAAAGGGCAGAGTAAACTGTGGCAGGATTGTCCAGTCACATGATTCAATCTCACTGCTTCTAGTCACATTATCTTTTTCTCTCTTCCTCTGGTCTCTCCCTCTCCTTCTTTCCCCTCCCTCTGCTCTGTTTTGATTTGGTTAAAATAGATGCAAACTCTGGTCTTTTCTATTTTTAATACTCAGCCATTACATAATCCACACCATAATTGCTGACTTGAAAAACTATTGGCAACAGTAGAAAATCCCCAGACTTTTAAACAGGAAAAGGATTATTACAGCACAAAGCTTTGGGCAGTTTTACTGACTGGTAATCTGTCTGTAATCGTCACTTTCCAGTGGAAGTCACATGGGCCCTGGGAAACACTCTCCCCACCGGGAGAGCCAGGTGGGGGAAGAGATGAACTGAATCCTCTGCTGGGAGGAGGACATATGGTATGGTGAGGTGGCCGTGGGGTGCTGCACTTGGAGCTCCCACTGATCCCAGACACCAATGCTGAAAGAGAGGCTTCAGGTGACTAGCCTCTCCTGGGGCTACTTTTTACTGCTTTCATTTTTTGCTTGAGAGTAGAGTCTTCAGTTTCCAGGACCTTTCCCTTATCAACTTCTCTGCCTTCCTACAGCCTCCAACACATTCCTGAGCATGCCTGAATGAAGAGGGACTATCCCAGATAACTGATGATTTTATAAAGACACAGGAGCAAGGAAGACTGCTTCTTAATTAGAGACTGGACCCACTCCTCTCCAAGGCTTTCCACATACTACGCCAACCACCACACTATTTAATTCAATAATAGGATCCAACAAAAATATAAGAACTAGAGATTTGGTAAAGGATTTCACAACCAAATTGGAATTATCTCATGAAGACAAATTTCTCTGTGTGTTGGGGATGTGGGTAGTGTAGGAGATACAGAGGGGACAGGAACAGCTTTCCCTGACTTTGCCAATTCTGCCATAATCCTAACCCCAATAATGAAGGAAGGTCATTCCAATTTGGGCATGTGACAATTTATTCAATAAATGTTTGCTGAATGCCAATGCCACACAGCGGACTGGTTGCTGGGGATATAACGGTGAAAAAAATCACCGCCCTCATAGAACTGCCAGGTCAGTGAAGGAGACAATCAAAATACTACATAAACATATCATAAACCATGATAAAGGGTTATGAGGGAAAAACGTTGGGTGCTAGGAACATGTAGAATAGAGGGGCCTGATAGGACCTGAGGGTTCTTAGAAGATTATTCTAGGGACTTCAGGGTTCTTTTACTTCAGCACCCCATCTTCCTTCACTTTCCCATTGTCCCTACTTGATTGCTTCCTGTAGATAATATTTACTGGGGGTTTTTCCTATGTAGAGAGGGTAATGCTAAGTTCTTCATATGTATGGTCTCAACTGATACATATAGCAAACTTAAAATTCAGTACTTTAAGACAAAAAGACCTGTTGACAAAAATCGAACCACACTTTGTAATGAGAACTATATACAATTCATAACATGAATTAAGACTCTACTGGCTGCAGGTAACAAAAATCCATATCAAACTTTCAAAAGGGGGGAAAAAAAAAGGGAAGCCCTGTCCATGTAAATAAAATGCCCAGAGTTAGACCAGCTTAAGGCATGGTTAGATCCACATGCTCAAAGAATGTCATCTAGTGTCCATCTCTCTCCATCTCAGAGCTCAGCTTTCATATGTTAGCTTCAACACTTCAACACTCCCCCGGGTGGAAAGGCAATCACCAGCGGCCTCAGGGTTGTGTACATACTACAAGCTTGGCAAGCCAGTTGAAAAAGAAATGAGAATTCACCTCTTAATAGTTCCAACAAAAGTCCAGAGTCTTGACTGGCCTGGATTTGAGACCATGCCCGCACCAACTGCTGTTCTCTGATTGGCATAGTCATGTGTCCGCCATTTAGAGCCAAGAGATGGACTCGACATCACCAGAATCCAGTCTGAGAATAGAGAAGGAGGTGGTCCCTCAAAGGAAAACCAAGGTAAATACCAAGGTACTTTGCCCTCAAAACGGAGAATGCATTCTGGGCAGTCAAAGCCCACTGATTTCTACTGTTCTCAAACTTTGGAATTACAGTGTATGTTATGACTATATCAATAGGTTTTTTCCCCTAGGAATGAGCAAGAGCGTTTATACAGTGTGGCACTGGCTGGATTTGCCCTTGTCCTACTATAGCAGCTCAGGGACCTTGGTTTCTTGTTTTAGGGTCTGTGTAAATTATAGGGAGGGAAGGGAATGACAAGCCCTCTGTTGGAAAGTTTTGCTTCCCATTTAGAGTCTGAATTGGAAATGGCTTTCATTGGGCAGAAAGAGGGATATCAAGATGTTTCTGGAGCATCCAACAAATAAGCCTCCATAAGACAGATCTCGGGGGTTGGGGGCAGGAATCACTGTCAAACATTCTATGAGCTACACAGCACTATCACAATCAGATGTCAGCTGCAACACAACCCTATCCTTGGGCATTTTTTAGAAGCTGCCTGGATCACCCATCCCAAATTCTTTGCGAAGTCAATGACCTTTCCACAATTTCTACAAATTCCGAGCAGCTAATGCCTTAACAGTCCCTTCTGTGTCTGACTCCAGCTCCTTCTGGATTTGTGATCTCACTCACTTTTCACCTTCCCTTTGCTCTGAGTTGTCCCAGATGTGGGACTTGGCTCCCTTTTGACATGCTTTACCAAAAAGAAAAAATACACATATACAAACTTCTCAAAACATTGTGTGTTCATCAGACTTTTCTGAAGTAATAAAGAGACAGAGGAGTTTTATATCACCATGCTGCATGGCACCTTCACCCTCTCCAGACACTTCTCACATGTGGGAGGGGTCTCTCCTTCCCTAGGGAAACTAAGTTCCCTTTATATTATTAAGAGCAACTTAGCTCTCCATCCTCGTTCCTCTGATGTCCAATGACCCATAGCTAGAGTCAGCCCCAGTGAACCACCCAGTCCAGGTTCCACCTTTGACTAGCACTGAGGTACAAAAAGTTTTGAACTTTCACTCTCTTACTACCATCATTCTGCAGTGATGAAGCAAATGGAATGATTCTTTCACTACAAGTATGAATTATGCCACCCCTCTTTAGAACAGAACTAGCTGCAGTCAGTTTTTATTTTAAATAATTTTCTACAGGCATACCTCCGAGACATTGCAGTTTGGTTCTAGACCACCCTAACAAAGCAAGTATCACAACAAAACAAGTCACACAAACTTTTTGGTTTCACAGTGCCTGTAAAAGTTATATTTACATTATACTGTAGTCTAGTAAAGTATACAATAGTATTATGTCTAAAAAACAATGTACAGGGTGGCTCCATAGTGTAGTAGTTAACACGTCTGCTTTACACGCAGAAAGTTCTGGGTTCGCGCTCCAGGTGGAGCCACGGACCATATCCCAGGTGCGCCAGGCCCCAGGTGTGCCAGGCTTCCCCTGAGTGCACCGGGGGTGCCAGGCCCCGGGGGCACCAGGCCCTGGGTGCATGCCGTGAGCATGTGGGAGGAGACACCCTGCCTTCAGAGATCCAGTTCTTAAGGGGCAACAGCAACAACCATAGGTCAGGGGTGGAAGTGGGGTGGGCGGAATTAAAGAGGGGAAAAATATAAAATAAAAATAAAAAACAATGTACATATCTTAATTTAAAAATATTGCTAAAAATGCTAACCGTCATCTGAGCCTTCAACGAGTCATAATCTTTTTGCTGGTGAAGGATCTTGCCTCAGTATTGATGAAAACACAATTATCTGCAAAACACAATAAAGCGAAGCACAATAAAATGAAGTATGCCTGTATAACTCAATTTAAACTCTCCAGCTCAAAGAAAAGCCTGTGTTACAAAAGTCCAAAACAATTCACACACACCTAGACTGGGGTCCACTGACACTGAGAATATGATTAAGGAAAACAGTGTTTCTTTCCCAAAGGTGTTACCTGTCTTTCAAAGACAAAGGTGTTTATGTCCTTGTGACACCCTGTGATGAAATTCCTGTTGTTTCCAGCCTGGAGTTCTGGAGCCTCAAACCCCAGCAAAATAGGCAAAACTTAGCTTCAAGGACTCCTTTCATCTAGGTTGGTGGGGGCCTGAAACCAAGTTTAAAACAGCTGAGAGGCTTCACCAAAGGAAAGGCAAGAACAAATGCAAGGAGCAGGCTTCCTCTCAAACCCTAGGCTAGCTCTAAGCCTTGCCTTCCTGGACCACTGAAGCAATTCCCTTCCCTTTGTAAGGGGAAAGAGAAAGCAAAGCCTCCCAAGCAGAGGAGGCCCCAGCCCCTCTCACTGCATCAGAAATGGAAGGCAGAGAGGCTCTGCAAGGCTGTGGATAATAACAAAAGGAGCAAATCCTAAGAAGGGAGAATTCTGAGTCCTGAATTCCTTTGGTCATCATACCAAAAAGTCCAACAGCAGGCGCTATGGCCCAGTAGCCTCCCTCAGGAATCCTTTTAGTTCCTGGGGAGGGAGGGGCAGCAAGAGGTCACTAAATTCCTCTTAGAGGTTAAGATTTATAATACCAAATTAAACAAATAAAGAGAGTAAAAAGATGAAGATGGAGAATAAATCTTTTATCTTACATAAACATAAGACGAAAGCTGTCATGTCATTCATTACTATCATAATTAGAAGAATATAGCCTTAAATATTTTTTAACCTAAATGAACTCTATAAAAAAACTTAAAACAGGGTGAATACATTCCAAATCAAATTTTAAAAATATTTTTAAAAAATAAATGGGAACATTCTATTCATATTGCTCTGCACTTGCTTTTCTCACTGATACAGAAACCTACTTCAATGTTTTCATGGCCACATAGTATTTCAGTCCCCCTACTCATGGATATTTACCAATGCAGTGAACATTCTTGTCCACAGAACCCCATGCTCAAGGATGAGCATTTCTTTAGATGAAATTCCAGTTTGTCCTGCCTATTTGTATTCTTTGCTCATTTACTATGGGGTTTGTTGTCTTTTCCGTATTGAATTATAAGAACCTTTTACAGATTATGAGTATTAATCCACTATCTTTTACATATATTCCAAAAATTTTCTCCCGGCCTGTTATCTTCCAACTTTGTGTATGATTAACTTGAGCCAGACAAGTTTCTCATTTGTAAGTGGCAAAACCAATCACAAACAATTTAGAAAGTACCCCGAGTTCTGAGCCACATAGCCTCTTCTGCTGGGGGCCACACAACTTTGCTTAGGTTTCTGTGGTGAATGGCTGATTAGGCAATCATTTTCTGAGCTGTTCACATCTGGTTTTATAGCAAGGCTGGTGGTATAAATGGATCAAATTAAAAAGGAGCTAAAAGAACTGTGAAGATTTTGTGTGTTTTCAGCTATGTGGAGGCTTTTTTCTCAAATGTTTAGAGTCATGTACTAACAATGCCAAAGGAATCCTGAACCACTGAAAATCCAAAAACATCTTTATAAATAATCTATTTCCAGACTCTTTCAAACCATGTGGGCTTTAGGGCATTATTTGCTGTCACCATGCACAGAGGGAAAAACAATTCCAGACCCCACAGAAACAGAAAGGCTCAAGAGTCCACTGACTCCTAGAGTTTTAAGCGAGAAACCTTTACAAAGTTTCCCTCTACCCTCTCTCAAAAGATTAACACTGCCCCAACCTGATCCTGAACAGCTCAAAACACCCTAGTGGCCAAATAGGATTTTGCCTGCAAGAGTTTAGTCCCTGCAAACTCTGGGTAAAGGTCCAATACTTTGTGGAGGTCCTTCCACTTGACCAGAACTCCCCTCCCCACCTCCCCCAACTACTAAAACTCTGTGGTATTTAGGAATGCAGGCCTAAAAGATAATTCTGGCCTCTTTCCCCCTAGCTGAAACCTGACACTCCTTGAGGAACTTGATTTCTGGGTACTGAAGGTTCTGCCATAAAATCATTTGTCAGTACCCAGATGTACCAAGAAGAGAAACGATCTGTCTCATTGCTGCTTCAAAGCCATTATTCCTACCCATTCCTATCTATTCCTATCCTATAATCTTTCCTTTGCTGAGGCTGGTACCAAGCAACTATACTCCTCATTGCTACCAACTACTAACCTCTTAGTCTTCAAGGACTTTGGAACCTTGATCAGTCTCCCTTTCCACTCCAAGTCAGACCCTTTGCTTGGTCATGACCTCATACATTTCTACCTCTCCTTGTCTTTAGTTCTACAGCTTCTGTCCTTCAACAGCATTGAGACTTCCAGTCCCTTGATATCCATTCACCATTGTATTGCTGCCTATCAGTCCTCTCCTTCACTCACTTCTCTCTAGCCAACTAGACAATAATCACTCTGCTACCAATATCTTACACTCCCCTCACGAGTCTACCATTTGTCCAATAAAAACACAGCTATTTGAAATTCGTCTCCAATATCAGTTGGGTCTTCAGCACCACTCAGCTATCTTCCTACATGTCCTCAGAATACTGCCATTGGCACAACAGTTTTTAAAAACCATGCCACTGCCCCCACTATCCCTGCTCTTAACCTCAGCTTCTTCTGCCTAGAGAAAACAAAACCCAACAGAAACTCCAACTTTTTCTTTCCAAAATCTTACCAAATCCCTCTGCCCCATCATATCCCTTGCCCCCAACAAATGAGACTTAAAAGTGTTCAACAGAGTGCTAGCAAAAGGTAGAAAAGCAATAAATGGTGTTAAGTGGTGGTGGTGATAGAGTTAACCTCACTGGTAGCCTAGCCCTTTGTTCAGTTCAAGTTTAATCTCTGTACTGGTGCTCAGGATACCGTAGACCCTTCTCCCCAAATACCTTAACAATTTGTATTTTTCTTTCAATCTTCAACTTCTCCCTCTCTACTAGCTCTTTCTCCACAACACAGGGACATATTCAGGTCTCAAAAAATAAATAACCCTCCCTAGATCCTGTGTCTCCCCTTCACTAACTCTCCTCACTTCACAGACAAGCTTCATGAAAGAGTGGCCTCCCTGACTGGGTCCGCACCCTCACTCCATTCACTAGCTGCAGAGGTACTGCCTAGTAGAAGAGAGTGGACTGGACTTTTTTTACCAAAGGTCTGCTGTTTGGAAAATTTCTTTAGAGGTTAGCAAAGAAGCAGAGTGAAAAGAAATACATTGTATTACTATTAACTCTGAGTTTTAAATATATGAATGAGAATAATTTTTAATAATAGGAATGAAAATATTTTCATTTGTATCAACATTACCTCTGACTAGAGTATAAGTTAGATGTTTAAATGTTCTTTAAAACAAGGAAATTTGTGTTCATATAACTTCCCTGATTCTCTAGATCCAAAAGCTAAAAACAATCTCTCCTCTGAGTTCTCAGTTAGTCTATACCTGTCATACCCTATCAATTTACCTCAAGTTATCACAGAACTCTCTGCAGTTAATAAATATTTGATAAATGAATAAACTGATTTTACAAGCACTTATTATAGTTTAGATAATTCTAATTACAAATCAATCTAATTGATTACTTATATCAGGTCCCTTGAAGAACCTCCACTGACATTTTGCTAATTTAATATTAGTCTTTTTTTACACATTGAATTTAATAAAGTTGCATTCAGTCATTCACATCCAGTAATTTAGGTTTTCACTTATTTAAATATGCCTCGCAAATTCTCAAATACTGAGGTATTACCATGTCTTTTGGGTATAGTCTGAAAGGACTAAGGTAAAAGTCAGTGAGGCAGGAATTACCCAATCAGAGATGTAAGCAGGGCATTCTGGGGAAAGGAATGCATTTTTCCCCTCCCTCGCCTGAAAAATATCCCAAGAAATGCTCCTTCAGGAAGGATGGAGACTTCCTCTAATGCAGTGCTCTCCTCTGCTTCAATTCCTTTCACATAATCTGATTGTCGGCTCCTCAGTACAGGTATGTCTTTGCCCTTGCTAGACCTCCTGAAGTTTACTCTTTTCTAAAACAAGGATGTTTTCCTAAAAAGTCGCAAAAGTTTTTTCTGATGCAAATAACTACACATTATTATTAGCATGAAAATCAAATTTTATTTTGAAAAGCAGGTTCAATGCTTACAAAAACCTGGTGGTAAATCTTTTTGTGATATGAAGAATCTCCATGTCCCCAACCACTCCCAATGTAACTGGCAAATCAACTATATGAGACCAATAATTCTCCTAAAGCAGGACATGGAGATTGGTGTCAGGAGCTTTCTCCAAAGAATTGACATTCCTGCCCCTGCAGTCCCCCTGAAGAAGTCGGTCCTTAACCCGTACCTAGGCAGAATTATGGACTTGAAGGACTGTGCTAAGAGTAAAAAGGTGGCTGGAATGCATGCCAGGAAACACAGGCAGGGCTAGGTGACAGGTCCCAGTCCCTCTGGAGCCAGATCCAGAACCTCCCAGTTTTCTTTAGCCTCATTGAGGATATAATTTCTAGTAGGGCTAAAAATCGCCAATGGCATAAAACCAAAGGGCAGGGCCAGGCTGGGTAAGCAAAACCAGTGATGAACAAGAGAGGCTCCTGATTTAGAATCCAGTGAGGAGGAAGGGTGGTAGAGAGCCTCCTCCAGGGGACTTAGAAAGTAGCTGCCCTCTATGGGTAATATCCCGGTTGCCAATAGGAAGGAAATTTCCTACCTACAGAAAGCCTCCTCCTTTGCTCCAGAGTTTCTCAACAGCCTGATCTTTTTAGAAGGAAAGAGCAAGTGACTGGGATTCAACTGACACCAGCTTATTGGTTTTGAAAATGTCCGTTCTCTGTGGAGTTGCCAGCTCAGAGTAGAAATTCCCATGGTGTCTC